CTGTCTTTTGTGTTCCATTGTTCTATATGTCTATCTCTATGCCAGTAGCATACCATTTTAATAGCTGAACTTTGTAATATGTTTTGAAATCAGAAAAATATAAGACTTCCAACTTTGCTCTTCTTTTTTTCAAGATTATTTTGCCTATTTAGGGTGCCTTGACATTCCAAATGGATTTTAGGATGGATTCTTCTATTTTGGTAAAAAAACAATAATAATTGGAATGTTGATAGGGATTGCATTGAATCTGTAGATTACTTTGGGTAGTACTGACATCTTACTAATAAGTCTTCCAATCCATGAACATGGGATGTCTTTCCATTAATTTGCTTCTTTAGTAATGTTTTATAGTTTTCAGTGTGAACAGGTTTTAAATTTTAAACACAAAAATTCCAAGTGGCCACTCACAATAAAATAACTTAAGTTCTGTTACTTTAACTTTATGATCACTGAGCTATTGTTATTTACTTTGAATCTCTGTTTAAATGCCGGGATTATTCCTCAAGAGTTGGAGATAGAAAGTGCTCTAGAAGACAACTTGAACCACAACCAATTCACTCCCAAAATAAATGAGCTCTGCATATATAGAGAATAAGTGGAGACTTCTCCAAATCAACTTCTATGAAGAATACTTTAAAACTAACGAATAATTAAAATGTGCTCATCTGGACTGTATGTGCATGTGATTAAAACTCAACAGTAACTGTAGCAGTGGTTCAGAATTTAGACCAGCATCAAGATTTTTCTGGGGGGAGTATTTTATCACTAATTTTGCTTAGGGATCTTTGCAATAACAACAAATAGACTGATATTATTACCATTATCTTTCGATTTTCAGAAAATGCATGGCTTAATTTCCTGTACATGGGGAGGACTTCTCCCACCACCACCTTTAGTTCTCCCCTGGCATTGGGTCTCAAGGAGTTTGAGTTTGGAAGCTCACAGGCTACTTAGCATTAAGGACTTGGTGGGTTATCTTGCACCCTTCAGCATCAGGCTTCTTTGCTTCTACAGTCCCTGCCATTCTCCACTCTCCACTCTCCTGGCTTCTGCTTACCTAACCTGACCATCTTTCAGCTTCTACCCCTACTATGAACCACTGACTGAATCTATTGTCTTGCCTTCCAGTCACCAAGAGAGGATCCAATAATAAAGCACTTGGTGCCAGGCCCCATCACAGGCTGTTAGCCAGTCTGTAGGTTCATTGGTACGGTGCCAGTCTCCAGTCCTGTGCAATCTCCAAAGGCCAGCAAGTGGCAGGGCCGTTTGCTCAGCTCTTCTTGGAGGAAAGGAGGGAGGGAGCCTGGGCCAGGTGGGCATGCAAATTGGTTCCTCTCAAAAACACTTCCCTTTCTCCTGTGTTTCTTTTTTCTTCCCTTTCCCCATTTTCATCTCTCTGACAGTCTCTGTATAAATACAGATACAAAGCTTCAGAAATGTATATTCACCACCTGCTCTGTAAACATAATAAATTCTTTTCTCGATAGGATGGGGGCTCTTATGCTTAACTAAAAGCAGATGAGAGAATTGGTTAACCTAACTCACCGTCTTTCAAACCATTTCAGGTTGGCTTTTGGTCTTTATCCAATTATTATGTCATGTTTTTAAATCTAATCCTGTAACCATTTATGAAAAATTATCTGCTCTCCCCCCCCCCCAAAAGTCATTATTTGTGAAACTTACTAAATAGTCTCTTTCAGAGTTCACAGTAAACTTGGAGGGTGCTGAATTTGGGGCAAGAAGTGTTGGAATTTACTACTCAAAGCCCCTCTGTGAGTTACTCATCATCTAACATTTTAACAACTGTTGTCTTTTCATTTTTGCTCCCCCATTTTTTACTCTGATTTCTCTCCAGGTTGTGGATGTCCCGCAGCAGATACAGGAGGGAGGAGAGACCATATTCATTAAACACAATAAAGAAGAGCAGTGGGGAGATTGTGTGCCCTTCTCACATAGCAGGTAGATGGCACTGCCTTGATCAGTATATGTTCCAGCCCTCCTATTTTTTTCTGAAAAGAACATCAAATTTAACAAGAAAGTTTATAAGAATAGGTTTTAAAAACATAACCCCACCTCCCTAAGATTAATTTCAAGTTTCATTTATCTCCTCCCACGTGCATAAGAATTTTTGCCTAGCTACAATTCTAACCAGGGACACATTGCTCTTTTATTCCCAGCTGCAGGCAGACAGGAAATTGCTATCATGGCTGCAGGAAGGTAGCCAAATGCTCCTCTGGTCCTTTGTGCAATCTAGCCCCACGCCCACTCTGTCTAACAGGTCACAAATGCTTACCACTAAAGTAGGGCCAAACCTTTAGGAGTTCCCAACCTAAAGAGCGACATCACAATACACAGCCGTTCTCCCAAATGGCCACTGCCCATCCTTCACCTTTTCCTTTAATCTGTCCAAAGCAGTAAGGACAGAAGAGACTCAGTCAGCCAGGAGGAGTCATGGGCCTCTGAAGGTCCTGCACTCCTTCCTTCCTGTCACGCAGGAGGTGGTTCTAAGGACAGAGAGGCTCTCCCTAACTGGGTCAGCTGCATGGAAACTTCTTTTTCTGACCCCAGAGCCTCCACCCCACTCTGCAA